GTAGGGAGTCGGGCCGGGCCGGTCCTGCTGCTCACACACACCAGTCCAGAGCGTAGGGAGTCGGGCCGGGCCGGGCCGGTCCTGCTGCTCACACACACCAGTCCAGAGCGCTGCTCTTACCGCTGAATCCTGACTGCGTGTCGCTGGGCTCGCGGCCGGAGATCTTGGTGTACAGTTTGGGATAGTGGATCATCAGGCTCTCCAGGAAGGCAATGGCCCCATTCCGGCCCCGAGTCCGCAGGATATCCAGCATGCGACCTGGAACAGGTGACACAGAGCAATGTGCCACACTGTCTCCACCCCTCCTCTAACTTTCCCATACAGCTCTTTCTGTCTCTCCTCACTTTCTGTGCCCCTATGTCCTTCACTTGACCACTGCTGTCCGCCTCTCCCCTCTGTCTCCACTCTCTCCCTCCCCTGAACCCCACTATCTCTCTCCCCCCTCTCCGTCTCCACGCTCTCTCTCCCCTGAACCCCACTATCTCTCTCCCTCTGTCCCCTCTGCCCTCCTTACTGGTCTTCATGCAGCGGTTAGTGAACTGCAGGCAGTGCAGGATCTCGTCCTCGTCCAGCTCGTCCAGCACGCGCGCCTGCCGCAGGTAGGGGATGAGCAGGCAGGGCTGCACGCCCAGCGAGACGCAGTGCCGGTTGTCATCGATCAGCTCCCACAGCGCCTCCTCGTCCAGCTCCTTCTGCTCCGACATGCCCCCTGGCCTCCAGCAGCCTGGGACAAACACACACGAGAGCCTGAGGAAGCTGGCATGTCAGGGGTGCTTGTTCGGCCACCTGCTTCCCAGTGGCTCCAGTTACACAGCTCCCTGGCACTGCCCACTGCATGGCAGCCTGCCTGCCAGGTTGCAGAGCCAGACGGATGTTTATGTCAATATTATATAATATGTCTTTGTTGTAAATGTCTGTAACATGTCTGTAGATTTTATTTTACTTCTATTTTTTGTTTTGTTCTATGTTAATTTTATTATTTTTATTTGCTTTGGCAACACTGATTGTACCCATCGGTCATGCTAATAAAGCACCTTGAATTGAATTGAATTG